ACAAAACAAACAGATCTTAGTCCTTAGTTCAGTTGCGTTTGTAGGTGTTCTAGTAAAGTATCTGTTGGGGAACGAAAACGGGAGTGTTTTGTCGGTTTTGTGAGGCAAAGGGGATTCAGTATGGTCCAGTTGTGGGGGTTGTTTGTCCATTTTGTCTGTAAGTCTTTCCGAAATTTTTGTCATGTTTGTGAGTTCGTATAGTAGTTGATTGCAAGGGTTGTGCAGTGGGTTTTGGGGGTGTCTTATTCGTGTAATTAGTCTTAGTGCAATTTGTTCTGTTGTTTGTACATATCGTTTTGTCCTTTCTGTTCCGTTGGCCATGATTATATGTCCGTAGTCCAAGACGGGTCTGCAGATCGCTTTGTATATTTTTGTCGCGGTATTTGTACTAATTCCTTTGTCCTTGTATGTTAGTGATCGAAAGTGTTTTGTTCTTTTTATCATTTCTGTTCTGATGTTTCGTGTGTGTTTAGTGAATTTCAGTTTGTGGTCGATTGTAATCCCAAGGTACCTTACGTCGTTTTTCGGTTGTGTTATTTTTCAGTCTGCAGTTATTGTGGGCGAGTCAGCGTTGAGTCTGTGGTTCGTGGCGTTTAGTCTCCATTTATAAAACCATGTCATTGTGTTGTTTGTTATTGTTTGAAGTCTTTCAGTCGCTTTTTCAGTAGTTTTGTCGTGTACAATAAGTGCCGTGTCGTCAGCGTATTGTAATATGTATGCCGTTCTGTCGATTTTATTTTTTCTGGTAAGTTGTAATTGTATATGTCATGGCAGTATATATTGTAGAGAAAGGGTGAGAGCGGGGATCCTTGAGGAAGCCCTTGTTTAGGGAAAAAAGCAAAGGAGAGTGTGTTGCCAATTCGTGCTTGTAATTGTCTGTTTTCTAATAAGTTCTTTATGGTGTGTAGTAGTTATGGTGGCGTGTGGAGTTTGGATATTTTGTATAGTACATGCCGACTCTCCGTCAGTTAGGTGGGACACGTTTGAATATTTTAAATAATTTCGAATTTCTTGCCCATTATATTTTCAAGTCAAAATATCCGAACTATTCCACCTGAATCAATTTCGTTTTTTCGAAGATAACTCGCCGCCACAATTTAGCCGAGAAGTTCGATAATATTTAAGTGAAGTATTTTAGGGCCGGCCGGTTTGACGAAGAGGTCAATTAGAGTGACCTGCTGGGTCATCTGTTTCACCCCTATGGATTTCACTTTATGGGGTTGTCTAACACATCTGAATAAGTCTGGGCCCAAAAGCGAATTACGAAATAAAGTTCAAAAAATCAGACAAATAATTTGTTAAGTGTTTGCAAATGCTGCTTGCTGGGCCTGTTTATCTGGAAGTTTTCTGAATACAGTTCCAATATTTAATAAATTTTATTACAATAGTTTATATTCGTAATTTTCAACTGGTTTTTGAACAATCTTGAGGCTAAAGACATAAGTAATGATTCAGATTTGCAAAAACGGCCGCACAAAATTATATGACATACTCTAGGGTACATGATGAATTCGCTTAATTTGTTTTTGCGGTTTTTGAAAAATAACGCATCAAAGCTAAGGTTAAATCAATTATTTGTTTGGGGGGGAATTTCGTTTTGGGGATTTTTAGCACAGGAATCTAAAATCCGTTAACGTTTTCTCTACAATAATTTAAGTCTCCGCCCCACAATAATGCTTTGCTATCTTTGAAGTTTAACGTCTGCCGCTTCTACGGTGAGGTAAATATTTCTAGAGTTACATATTTCGTAAACCATTTGAAAACCGCAGTGGATCTAATATCTTATAATTAATCGTGTACTTCATGGATAACTGTCATTGTTTGCCTTAACGGATTTTCATTTTTTACGTTCTTGAAATAAGGGCGTTAGCGAAGTAAAACTAATTTATTTATTATCACCTGGACCATTTATTTGTTAAAATTTCATTTTAAAATAGTTTCCTACGTATTCTCCTGTAGACATAGTTACAGCTTTAAAGTTACTAGTTGAACTTTTAACTTTTTAACAAATATATTCGGAATCAATGCTTGAAGATACTTAAACAGAACATAAATCTGGTTATATATGAGTGTTTAGAATGCCACAGTCAGAGGATTTTCACATATTTGTCAGCGCTTTCTTGAATATCCTTAGAAAATATTAATCAATTCAAATTTCCATTTGAAAAAACCTCTAATCCAAAAAAGCGTTATGAAAAAATGAATAATGAATTAACCTTCGCGGGCATATTCTAAAACAGGTGAGTTTTTATGGCTTTTGAGCCGTCGTGGAAAATAATGGTGTTCAGCACAGTTGAAACTTACTTACTTCACGAACTAATTATTTTTCTCTATCGCCTAAAAGCTCAAAAACCTCACCAGTTCCAATATAATAAAATTTTTCGATTTTTGGAAGTGCTTTGGAATCTATCCACTTTTGATTAAGAAAAACTGAAATAAATGATCATGAATTTGTGAACTTGGATTGATATCATTTAATTTAATATATGGTTACCCTAGCGGATTTTAACAGCTTGGCTAATTTGTTTCTCCGTCATTCAGGTGCACATCAAAGCTTAATTATACTCCTTTTAACAGGGGTATTATTCTGGATCGTTAATCAACAGAGCATTAAAAAATAATGAGTCCAACTATACCCGTATGCTCATTGGCCTTTAGTAGCATTTACCTTGTCTTCAAGTCATTTTAGCGCGCAAATGCCAGGCTTGTAACTTAATTAATCCCGGTGGATTTGCGAATTAAATTTAACTGCACATGTAATTTCATTCAAATCACGCTCAGGTAGAATTTCTTTTGAATCGGATAAACAGATTATTAATATTGATGATGGTTTGAGATGTCAGTTATTAGCGGCCGGAGGTGAACTTTTTCTGCTCACAGCGGTTTAAAACTTATTTTTAAATTAAATGGGCTATATTCCTCTACATATTATTAAGTTGAAATAGCTGCAAAGTTCGGTTGTTCGTAGAGGGTATTATACAAATCAGTTATGAAACTGAAGGGTTTCGGTAAATTTGACGAAAGCTAAATGTTCATTTAATAGCGATTTCAATTTGTTATCTACTAGCTAACAAATCAATGAACTTTCGTCCATTATGGCTTAGTTGGATTAGCCTACAGTCAGAAGCAAGTTCTCTATTTTGGTTCAATATTATCCCCATTGGTCCGGAAGTCCGGAGAACTTACTCTGATTAGATAAGTAAATTCGGATTGGCTCCTGACCATACTGGACACTAATGGAGCAAATTCGGTAACGTTGCCTGCAGTTGTTTTCCCGTTGAAAATACTAATCGAATTATTTTGCAATTGATAAAGGTTGTAATGTGTATTTGAATTCATTCGAATTTTTAATATGTTGTGTGATTGACCTGCATTCTTCTGCATTTCTCAAAATGCTTGTAGGGCGGTACAGAAATTGGTAAAAATTATGTGTTTTATTATTCGAAACAACGGATTGTAAGAAATAAAAATATAAATATTTAAGCATACTTACTGCGCCACCACTGGATGGTTCTCCTTTCTCACCTTTCGGTCCAACTGGACCAGGAAGTCCACTTGAGCCCGGTCGACCCTAAAAACAAAGTACTCAATGCCTTGAATGTGATAAGAAAAATTAATAAATTGGAAACAGCACAGTTGACTTAGAGATGATTTTTGCAAAATTTTAGATTTTCCGGAAACTTACAACAATTGATTCATATTATTGAACACAAACCTGACGTGTGGTTAAAATACATTCGAATAATAGTTCAATTTTCATAATTTTAGGACAGTCTAAATGTACGTAATCGTAATTTAAATCAACCGATTACAAGAAGCTACTAAACTAACACACTGGTGAGCTTATGTTCAAATAAGAACGTTGCTGAAAGTCTCTGCGAGTTAAAATCTATCGAAAGTATAATCATAAAAAAAATATACCATACCAGTATATCCAGGGAGCTTTAGAGGGTATTTGCAACTATTTATACGCACATTAACAGGAAAAGCAGGAATCCGTAAGTAGGAAAAGTAGGAATTTATTCGCTTATTATTTCTTAGAAAAATCACTAAAAAATCAAGTGAATATTAAAGTTTTATAGATTCTTACAGTTTAACTCAATAATTCAGAAAATATCAATTGGTCAAGTGAATTTGTGTGTTCCTCAGATCACGTTTTGTTGTGCAATCTATTTTTCTTCCTGATTTACGGTGGTTTCATTATACGTGTTTATTTAAAAAAACGCTTTTCCTTATTAACACTTTCTTCCTTGAATTTTACCTCTGAGTACATAGCTGAGTGTCTTACAAAGTAAACATTGGTACTAAAAATTGAAGCAAATGCAAATGTAAACATCAAATTGTTGTACTATTCCGATGCCACTAAATAAAACAAAATTTATCCTTCAAATAATTAATATTTCCATTTAAAAGTATTCCATACATCGTAATGTGCAACTTGAATGAATAATGAAGAGAAATGAAATAACGACAATTTTCATTGCTTAAAACAACAGGAGTCTAATTAATATTTACATTTGCTATGTAAACAACATCTATTGAGGCAGCAAAATAAACTTACCTTTCCATTCTTTACAGCGAAAGCACAGAAAAACAAAACAAATACAAGTTTTATAAAGAAATACGGTTGAGGTTGTTTTAAAATTTATCTGCTGAAATCCACCGTACCAAATGGAAGTTTGCTGGCTGGAAAATACTGTGGAGGAACTTACGCAGGGTTTTATTTCTCTTATACTTTTCAAGATGGTATCGAACTTCAAGATGGTATAGTAAATTTGGAGAGTAAAATGTCGAGCCAATAAAATATTATTACCATCCATCCTGGTAATCCGATCTCTCCTCCTTTGCCCGAAGGTCCTGGAGGGCCCGGAGGACCTTGTCTTCCCCTTCGTCCCCGTTTGCCCATGTCGCCCTTTTCTCCCTGTAAGAAAAATACAATAAAGTAAGGAATTTAAAAAGTGCGAACGCAAACATTCCTCGAAAGACTAGGGATTAAACGGAATGAGAGTTGGGCGTTATAAAGAATGTTACCTAATTTAGTTAATTACATTTTTCGGTGGTGTGTTTGCTTTCCAAAGGGTCGAGGACCGAAGTGTAATTAATTAGGGGACGGAGAGTGTATTGATTGTGTGAAAAATCAACAGACTCATGTTTGACTAACCCTATCAACAGTAATTACAATGAGGTGCTAATTAGCAAAATTACGAGTTGTTGCAAGGGGGATATTGTCCCCTATTTAAGTCTGTAACTAGTTACAACATGCCCAATTTTTTTTGCTACAAATACAAATTACTTAAAGTATTTCCGTTTTTATGAAATAATGGAGGATTCAAATAATGTTCCGGTGAAGACGAAAACATTTCTGTAGTGTTAATTCAAATGGAAAAAAATTGCGTTAACCCCATTACACAGGACCTTTAGATTCTACGTATATTCACTTTTATTACGATAGAGCTAAAATCTTTTTCTCATTTTAGTATGAAATTATGATGTAGGATACAACGAAACTCGCTCCGATTCTCTTTATAGGTTGCCACATTTTATGAAAACGAATTTTTCATCCTATTAGTGGTAAGGCTGTAGTGATCCGGAATACTTAACTTAGATAAAATAGAGATCTAAATAGAGATTAGATAAAATCAGATTTACATTAGAGTTATTTACAACTATATTTATTTGTGGAACCTACTTTTTTATTAAATTGGTTCCTACTGGGTTAATATAAATATTATGATTTCAGTATCGGTATCTTTTTACTTTCAAAGAAAATTTGGAAAAAAAGATACAATGTCTTTTTTCCAATTTCTTGTCCATACTCAAGACCTGTTTCTTCCTCGACTTTTTTATATCCTCTGCCTTATTCTATACTGCCCCCAAACTGAAAATTTATTTTTCTATGGAAATCTTTTATGTAGAAAATTAACAAATATTGCGAAGAGCATGGAATAAAAGAAAAATATAATAAGAAGTTCCATTGTCGAAATATTCAAAACTAAAGTTTCCATATATTTGTTGATGGTGATAATATCAATCTCAAATAATAGTCTTGAACGAAATCCTGGGACGATTTCATAATGGAAATGTATTTGGGGTCAGTTTGTTATGGTCTTCAGAAACTAACGTAACCTCATTTAATTGTTAACCTTTTACTGAAGAAGCTACCGTAACTACATTTTGAAAAAATACTTTTTTTCTTATTTTCCGAAAGTTTTATTTCACAATTTAGTCTAAAAATCAAATTGAAGCGGTCTGCAAAATATTTCACTTCTGAAAGTTATAATACAACAAAAAACTAAAAATGTGATATTCACATCGACTTCAGGTTGGTTCAAAAACGTTAAGGTAAACGGTTAATGCAAAAAACATAGGAAAAATATCGGCTTTATTCAATTAAGTCAGTAACGGAAGTTCGAGAGAAAGCTTCATTTTATTAGCCTTTCATTTGCTCAAACGTTTCTGGATTTCCCCGACTTCATATAATTTACGGTTTTCAGTATCCTCTTCTGGCTCTTATTATCTTGGACACAGTGTATAAAACATCAAAAGTATTACATGTGTTTAGTATTATTTGAGTAAAAAGGGTCTCCATTGGGAACTTAATCAACATCTCCTTCAAAATGTCTTTGAACTTTATTTGCAATATATATTTAACTAAGGTTCAGTCTCAACCAACACCATTTCAGGGATACTCAACCTGCAGTAGTATTTGCAAATAGACCCTCAATATTTCCCTAGGTTATCGTTACGGATAGTTTTCGATAAAGACCCTTTTTGGGGTCTGTAGGGAGTTCAATTGGCATTTTTCTTTGAAAACTTTATAAACGTAGTTAATAAAATCTGCAACACTATAACGTATCGGATTAGTAACATTATTGCAAATTTTCTTCGCCCTTCGAGCACTGTTCTGAACTGAGGCATTTCGCAATATAATTTCATTCACTAAGAACTCAGTAATCAGGTAAAATATGTGGAACAAGATTGCGGTGCTTGACTTCCAGATTCGATGGCTGCAACTGTGTTAGAAACTGTTTTCAGAATCGCAACTATTTCACAGCTGGAGCAAATTGTTGGCAATTTCCAGGCACTTTGTGGCATTTCGATTGCGACCTCGTTAAATCGCATAGCTTTGCGGTGCTGCTAATACACTAGGCTTCCTTATTAACGAAAATAACCGTATTGTCGTAAACTTGAGGTGCTGTAGCTAGTTTTAGGGTTCCACTTGTTCGATGCGAACGCAGGGATGGTAGGAAAATTTCATATTTTATAAATGTACTCATTATTATTTTAATTTTAACGAAACATACCTAGAAGCACACTATAATTAATGGGGCTTCGAATAATACACAACCTTATGAAAACAACTGGAGTTCGATTAGTTTATCTAAAATCATTATTGTCCCTGTCTCGCTTGGTACGGTATTGGACGATTTGACTGAAAGCTTCTAAGCTTTTCGAAGGTTAAAACTAAATTTCTTCATCAATTAATTGTTCCAGTGACTTCTAATCAAAGTTAAATAACTGTAGTTGGTGAATCAAAGTTAAATAACTGTAGTTGGTGCCTCAGTTTGTAATTATAGTTATTTACTAATGCTATTTTTTGCGTGAACCATGGAGTTGTGATTTTACCGGTCCTATTTCTATTTCCAATTGATACACTCTGTATTGATGCAAAATATGGAAATATTATGATGCGACTATAAAGAGATATTATAACCTTACCAAAGAGGTTATCGAAAAGTCAATTTAAGCATTGGTGTGATAACAACTAATTGTGCTACTCATGTTCATATTAAATTGGTCAGCAAGTTTACCGAATTTCCACAAAGTGCTTCTATCTAGGATCTAACACTGGTTGTTTTGAAAATAGAAATGGCATAATAAAACACTTTTAATTAAAGTTTTAAGGTACGTAAATAAATAATACATTAAATTTCCAATTTGAAGCTGTGAGAAAAGTTGCAAGAGCAATTTCATCTAATAGGCAAGCTTTTCCCGAAAATATCAACGAGTACTTCTCAGACAGCAAAATACTAGATTACTCTTTCACTGTTATTTTTCACTAACCTTTAACAATCAGAATATATACTCACAAGTGGAATACTTGAATGAAATAATTAGCAACACTTTCAACGTTAGAACTGTGCACCAGAAAAGCAACACTTTTATTATGCACTTAAGTTATTCAGTGTCGTTTTTTACTGCAAATAACTAAACTGAAAATTGTTATTTTATTGTTGATGCTTAAAACGTTGTGCGCTGCCTAAATCACATAAATTGCCACTTTTGAATACTAAATAATATTTGGCTTTATTTTAACTCCTAATGGTTAATTGAAATAAAATGTAATTGTTTATTAATATACGTCTCAAAATTCTTGTCTTAACATTACGCAGCAACAAAAAATCGATCGCTTTCGACTTGAGATCACCATTTTTTCATCGAAAAGATAAACGTTTTGCAAGAATATTATATTGCACATGGAATTCATATTTATCCCGAACAAATTGATTCAAACTGCAGATATTTGAAAGCTGCCTTTAATACTTTAAAATCGTGATAACACTAATAAATAATAATTGTCAAATAATTAATTGACATTAATAACTAATTAGATCACAAAAATGCAGCAAAATAAGAAGTGAGAAAATCAGCATTTAAAAATAATTTCCGCATCTCGTTATTTGTACCTATATTAAGTATTTTCAATAAATTATAATAGCCCGATTGGTTCTGAATCTGAAATTTTTTTAACAGTTTGCAATATTTTATTTACCTACACACTGTTATTCGTTTGCTCCGCTTAACCATTTTCGTTTCGTATTCAACTTAATGGTGTTGTTTCGTTTCTGTATTTATTTATTGTTCTTTCTGTTAAGTGAGAGGAAATTTGCACATTTTGATGCTGAGCACAAGGATATTTATTAATTTTTACAAACTTCTTTTTGGGTATTTCGCCTCAAAAATTTTTGTCTTTAAAAAAGACAGAATTTCCTCACGTCTTTTATTACAGATTGATAA